ATGGCGCGTACATACTGATTCTGCTGTGTTCTCAAAATAAATGTTGGATTAATGTTTTTGAGGTTTTTGATCCCCCTGTATAAAAAATAAATTATTAATATGCAAACATGTGTATCTGTTTTTCAATAAAGCAATATTTTTTAAATAGAATGGCTTCTCCGAAAGTATTAAAAAATAAGTAGAGTCCTAGAATATCCCAGAATGTCGAGTATTAACTAGAAGGCCATGCTTTCATATTTAAACATAAAATTTAATTCCAAGCAACTTTTCCCCATTACTTTTTCACATAGCGTTAAGATTTAAGGTACTTTACTCTTCACTGTTTTTACCTTTTCCAAATTTTTGAAGACGCTGTACATTAAATTGAACAAATGACTAACTTGCCAAGGGTTTCTGGACAAACACAAATTTTTATGAAGAATGATTTTTTTGACAATTGAAATTTTGTATCCATTACGGGTATAGGCAACCCGATCTGGGGACACCCTGTATAGAGGGCATCTCAGTTGACACTGTCAGATGCTAATAATAATAAAAATAGTAGGAGTTTATACCTAATAGAATAATGCAACCATAGAATTAAAACTACAAAGTCAGCTACATTTGAATTTGCAAAAAAAAATACTGAAAATGTGCACATCAAAATTTTAGACCTAGAAGGTAGGATTCGTAATTACGCAATTGCTAGCATTTTCATCTCATTCTACATCAATTGCACCTTCTTTTTAATATGCGCAGTTCAAGGGTCAAGTGAAATTAAATTTATCCAGTTGTGACAATATTCAAATAACAATAAAGTTAACCCAAAACGATGTAACAAATAAGCTACTTAGTATTAAACAAGTAAATTCCTAATTCCACGAGTACAATTCAAAGATAAAAAGAATGACACAGTTATGACTGATTGTGAGTTGCAAGGGCAATAAAATAATTCATTTATACGATTCAATTTAAAAATCGATCTTAGATAATAGCATAGGGCAGTCAATCCTATAATTTAGTAATTTATATAGGAAACATAAAGCATAATTTTCCTTCGTTTTTCTAATGATTTAATATTCAATCTCCACAGTAATAATTTATTGATATAACCACACTTAGTATAATGAGTATCAATTTTTGATACAACATATTCCATAAACTTTTGCTGAACTGTTTCTCTAATATTTGTCATATAATTACAAATAATTGCATATTCCATATTTGTCTGCAAGAGAAAAGTAGAGCACTTTTAAAGTTTCAAATTTCAACATTAATAAGTTGCGAAATATTGAGTCCACTGTCAAAAAATATAGTTATAAAATAATAACATTGGGAAGATTTTACGTTTACTTTACACCAATTCTCAATATACAATATTTTTTGTTCTCGCAATGCAACACAATCATATAAATTACTAATTTCACAAAGTTATCTTGAGACTGTCAGTAAATAATAGCCTGTCACACATTGTACCATCACATAAATCATTTATAAATACTGTAAAGAGTAGAGGTCTTAAATTTGACCCTTGAGGTACACCAAAAGATACTAGATAAGCATTTGGCTTGAAATCGTTATACTGAATATATTAAAGTCGTTATCTAAGTATGAAATGACGAAAAGAGTAGAGAGTTGTGTGAAACAGCTAAATTAGAAATCCTTGAAAGTTTCTCCATAAAACTATGCTGCCCTCCCATTAAATCCCTGTCACCTCTATTTTTTATTTTAGGAACTTGGGAGGGTCGCCATCTAGTATTTTCATTGCTGAGTTTAATCAGTTGTTTAATGCGTATTATACACGGTGTCCCACTAAGGTAGTCGAGAATATCGATGAATAAATCAACCAAGAAAAATCGCTGGAAATAGTTTTCAAGTTCGTAGCTCGGCCGCTAGGGGGCGTAGTCTACATACCAAAACATAGAGTTGAATTTTTCTCAGAAATGTTTCCTATTCCGGTATATTAAAGAGTACAAATATGGATTCATGGCGCATAACTTTTGTTATTGACATTTTGTTCTGTCTCTCGACAGAAAGGATGAGGAAGCCCCTCATTTTTAATCAGAAAAATGCATTTTTTAAGGATTGGCTCATCAAAAGCCCATAGTCTTATATCTCGTTGGGAAGGTCTTTTCATGCTTTATCTCGTGGTAAATGCGTAATATCATTTACTTCAACATGAAAACCTATAGATGGCGTTATTTCAAAAGACAGGCGTTTTATGGATTTTTCTCAAAAATTTTAAATGCAATGTTTAAGTTTTCTTTATATAAATGAATTCAGCACGAAAAAATTGATGAATATACTATAAGTTTGAAATTTTTAACGAAAGTGTTGTTTATTTATTGGCGCTATTTATCCAACTTTAGCTTGTTACACGTTTTCTTAAAAAAAGTGAAGAGGCAGGATAAAACTTTTTATAGGTTAGTTTGAAGAGCATAAAAATAGCTATATTTTAACGCCAAAAAGGGTTCGATATCTTTTTTTGTTATCATGTTATTCGCAATTAGTGAACATAAAATAAATAATGATAATGAATTGAGGAACACGACGCTAACGAAAAGACATTTAATTACCAAAACAAATTGCGTTTATAAAAGAACCTTTCAGCCCTCCAAAAAGTTATGAGCATCTGAATATTTTTGGTAAAAAATGTTCATATACCTGTAATTTGGTAAAAACTAAAGATATAAACTTTTTTCATTTTGTTGGTATTGAGATGTAATTTTTTTAAAAAAATTGAAAATTGTACATTTTTAGTGTTTTCAATTGTTTGATTTTTAAACAAAAAAAGGTGCTTTTTGATAGATCCCACCCTAGAACCTGTCATATAAATTTGCATTATTAAAAGACGACTTTTTAAATAATTTGTCGAGTAAAAAAAACAATTCTTTTTCAAAAAGCACTTTTTTGGTTTAAACATAAAAATACTCGAAAAACTAAAAACGTATTAGTATTATATTTTTTTTAAACTGCATCTCAAAACAAACACAATGAAAAAAAGTTTATAACATCTTTAGCTTTTGCCCAGTTACAGATAGGCTATTGACTATGTACTTTAGATAGGAACTACAACGTAACAGAAATTTTATTGTTTGATATGTTCAATTGACCCTAAAAAATGATAAAACCGCGGAGTGTTACCTTTTAAAGGGGTGCGTTTTTGAGAATGAAGTAAAAAGGTGGAATTTTCAGTTTTTTGAGTTTTCCTCGAAAACTATGAATTTTTTCTATATACATAGTTGTCAGCAGAAAAATTGTAGCAAATTGAATTTCCAATCGAAATGAGACCTTTTGAAGTCAAAAAAAATATTTTTAACAAAAATGTGCCCAAAAAATGAGTAAAAAAACCCGAAAAAATGCGTTTTTTTTTCTTTTTGATTTTTGGGCCACAACTTTTTTCTGAGAGAAGTTAGGTATAGGTATTGCTTCACAGAAAAAAAGTTAATGTTTTTTCCTTTAAAATAAGCCTTTATAGAAGTACCTACGACTAATAGAAACCGATATACATTGGATCAAAGTTGGCTACTTTTTGGATTTTTGGCCAATTTTTGCCCTTTTTGAAGATTTTCGTCTCATAACTTTTTAGGTTTAGGTAAATGTAATGCCATATTCAAATGAAAGCTGGTTTCGAGACCTTTAAAATGGTGCCTGGTAGAAGTTTATACAATTAAAATCAACCGATATGTGTCAATTTAACCAACGATAATTTTTCTTATTTTTATAAATTTTTTATTACTTTCGGTATTATTTTGTCTAATAAATTTATTTTTGTGAATGTGAAAGTTAAAATAAGTTTCTAGGTGATTGGATATTATTATTTATTTATTTAAACAACAGTTAATCGTATATATCTTATAAATTTTCAGTTTAGAAACTTATTTTAACTTTCACATCCACAAAAATAAATTTATTAGACAAAATAATACCGAAAGTAATAAAAATTTTATAAAAAGAAAAAGTATCGTTGGTTAAATTGACATAGGTATCTCGGTTGATTTTAATTGTACAAACTTCTATCAGGCACCATTTTAAA